GGGGGGGCTGCGTGAGTTCAGAGCAGAAAAAGCACGGCTGTGCTACCCGCCCACCCCTCTGGAATGGAAGCCATGACCATTATAAGGTAGTGGCCCCTGCTGGCAGAGGGCTTGTTGGGTCTTCTTAGGGATGACTTGGGACAATAAGATGTTGCCACATATCAGAGCTGCTAATAACTGCCCCCATTTGGAAAAGCAGCCAGTGTAATGTAGAGAGACACGTACCCAACTCACCCACTCACCATTCCAAACCGTGTATGAGCCCAAGGTGGACTCAGGGTCTTTCCTAGAGATAAACAAGGACACTAACTGGGTGCAGCATCTACACGAGATGCTAACCATGCAGTAGCCTAATAACACTGCGCAGTAGCGTGCTGGGAAAATCTGTGCTAATACACTACTGTGCAGTAGTATTAGGCTACTGCACAGTTAGCATCAATAAAAAGCCATGTGCTGGCGCTACTGCGCAGTAGCACCAGTTACTGTGTGTTGATTTAGTACTTGGTTATGCAAGTACTTAACTTAGTGCACAGTAACTACGGCACATTAATGACCATGTAGATGCACCCGCTGTGCCTCATTTTTCTTCCAGATGACAAAGGCACTAATGTAACACAGAGCACGGTTCGGCCTTAAGATGGGAGAGCTGAGTAGCTGGTGCTTATGGAGAACTCACGAGCACAAGAATGATGAATAATATCATGACATTTTCTCTCAGCAGTGACCTTTCCAGTGGGATCACTGGGGTCTCTGCCTTGACAGAGGTTCATCAAAGTTTTCCACTTGGACCTCTTTCCGTTGCTCCACCAGTGAAATACCGTGGAGCTTCCTAGAAAGATTGGTTGTACATAATCCTGTATAGAATCCTGAAATGAAGACTTTTTTTGGAGGGACTGGTAGACAATGCATCTCTAATGAAGGATTAGAGGCCACCCTCCCCGGCCCATCTCACCTGCAGTGGAAATGAGTGGTTTTCTGGCCGTAGAACTGACATTCCACAGTGCCGCAGTCCTCAGTGGCTCGGAACCGCTGGAACCCATCGTTGATCAGCTGCGTGTTTTTCTTGTGGAAGTTCTCATGGGTCATCACATCGGAGGTGCTGGTATAGACTTTGTTACAACCCACCTGCCCAAGAATAAGGGGAAGGAACATCAGCACTTCCCTGGACCAGCCTATATTGCTTCATTATTTCTAGAAGCAATAATAAACAAACAAGCAGCAGTATATATTGTAGTCATCTCTGTGTACTTCCCTTCAGAGTATTAAACCATCGCTTTGATTTCCAACCTAAGACTGATGAGGCAAAGAGCCCGAGTCTCTGGGGATGAAGCCATATGAACAATGGGAAGGATGAAGAGGAAAGGTGGAGTCATGGAAGGATAATGGCTACCGCTCAAAGGTGCAGTAGGAAGTGACTTGCTCTTGAGGAAGTCTGAAGAGACTGACAGGCACTGTCATGAGCCTTTGTCACTTCGGGAAGAACTGGAATAACTTAAGGTTTTTTATTCCAGCCCTTCACCTACGTGGGGAATGCTGGGCAGACTGGGAGTTACTTGCTTGTCCCCTTCCTGCCTGTAGCAGAAGGAAGGCCCACCACATCTCTAGGACCTGCAGTATACAATTCCATTGTAACCAGCCACAGAACAAAGTGGGAATCCTGGAGCCAGCCTGTTCCAGGGAACCGGTGGCTTGTTCCCATCACCCTTCCATGCTATTAATTCAATAATTTCAAACTCTGCAGCAGATGGGAATGGTGTGACGAGAACGGAATGCTGCAAACCTGCCTTCCGCAGGGCAAAGCGGGCAGCCTTGCCATATTGAGTAAAAAACCGGTGGAATCTGACAATGCCATCATCCCTGCCGAGGGTGGTTTCTTCCCCCCTTCTCTTCTAGGACGACGCGTGCCAACGTCTGCACCATCTCAGAAGTGAAGAGAACGAAAACACCACCTCTCGGTTTAGCCCAGGTTGATTCAAACAGGCAATAACAAACCCCCTGACAAATACCCAGAGCGAAAAATAAAAGGATCTCCAACTATTTCCAATATAAAAGAGCCTTGCTCTCTCCGTGCTGACACCTTGAAAAAAGACAGACCCTGCGCGGCATTAAAAAAAAGAATTAAACAAAAACCTCCTTAGGAATAATTTGCAATGTGGCTCTTGGTGTTAAAGCCTAAAAAATGTCAGTTTATATAAACAACTAACTGAATTTTATCCACACCAATTATGGACATAAAGAAAAAAAATCCCATGAGGCAGACGGCACAAATCCTGCCATTTAAGCAATATTCCCTTTAATTGGGAGTTTACGTTCTGATACCTTTCCTCAAAGCTACTGCTTATATGGAAATTGACTTACGGGAAGGGACTGGGCACGGGGCAAAATTACCCTTATATAGATGCCTACACAGGGGTCTCTGCACAGCTTTTGATGGGCTGAAGGTGGTAGAGTCTTGACTGCACTTAAAAAAATAAGTGACTCCCATCCTGGTCAACGCAGCAAGACACTAAACAAGGAAAATGCAGGAGAAATAACAAGAACATGTCTCTAATAGAGAATCAGATGAAGCCTCTAATTCATCAAAAAGTACTAAGCACGTGATTAAATCCATTCCTATCCAGGACAGCATTTAAGTGTGTGCCTAACAAAATATGTGCTTAAGCCCCATTGACTTAAAAAAGCCAACCTTACTTCAAATTAAACATGTGCTTAAGTCTGCTGCTATTCAGTGAAGTGGTTAGGCACACGATTAAGGTCCACTGATTTTAATTGGGGTCTTAGGCTGTTGGGACAGTCTAGGAAGCAGGAGCTGAGTTTGCAGACTGGCAGGATCTCACATAGGTGGTCTGAACAGTCCCAGGGGACTTGCATGTACCACTGCCCATCAACCCAGCAAAGTTTCAGGATGCAGTGTCCACTCCCCAGCCTTACCCCAACTTCGGATCCCACGCTAGGAGATGGGTGAGCCAGCATGGACCTACCTAGACTTTGTAAGAAACAATAAAGGAATGAAGTTCTTTGTCTGTAGGAATTCCAAGGGTGGTTGCACTATGGTTAAAACATGGGTGACTAAAACCTAACCATGCTCCCAACCCATGCTGCATCCATGCCTGATAACTCTCATAACTTCTCCTTTAGCACTGCTGGCAAGGGGGGCAGATTGCCTAGGTTTATTTCAAGCTAAACAGTGTTAATATTTGATTGTCCTAGCAGATGGCTACAGAGAAACTAGAATCAGTGTTAAAGGGCAGATGTTGGGTGAAGTGGCCTTATTGCAAGGTAGGTCAGATGGTCTGTTTGGGCAGAGGTACTAGTGCTACTTGTCCTTCCGACAGTCCCGCAGAGATGGAGCATCTCTTTGGGTCAGTCAGGTATAGACAGGCAGAGACACTTGTATCTCAGTGCCCCACTCAGAAGGCTGGGATAAATGTGGAACAGCAGTGCCCCTCATGATGGAATCTTTCAGGGTCCTGCTCAGTCAACAGAGCCAGGCAAACTGGGTACAGATTCTTCATAGAGAAAGCTGAACTAGGAGGGACCAGAGGAGGCTACGGTCAAGCTCTATGGATGCTCTCACTAGTATCAAAAGGGAAAATGTTAGGAGCCTGAACTTCAGGAGCCTTCAAGTTTGCAGCACAAGAGGCATGGGTTAGGCAAAGTGGCTCTGGGTTCTTCATTGTTGCTACATTCTTCCCCCAAGCCATGGTGGTTTCTCCCCAGCCTGCTCAAGTTACCTGCATGCAGTGGTAGTGTGTGCTTTTCCCATTCAGGTGACAGCCATGGTAGTACACGCTGCAGTCATCCAAGGGGCTGAAGCGCATGAAGCCATGCTGGAGGGAGTTATCACGTTTCTTGTGCATGTTGTAATGTCGAATCACATCCTGTTTACTAGTGAATCTCTGGGGAGATACAGAGATAGACAGAGTGAGACGTATAGGCATGTGAAGGGGCGGGAGAGCATTCCTGGATGCCTGCCTTTATAAACCTCTCCTAGTGTGAATTTAAAACTCAGTCATCTAATGTGTTTGCCACCCTAGGGTGCAATTCTGTGTGTCATCTTTGTTAAAGGGAAAATGCGTGCAAACAAAAACCGTTTCACTAGCTTTAAGTGGGGAGTGAAAATGAAGCTAGCCCACTGTCCAAGATGAGCTCCCCGCACTTCTAGACACAGTTCTGCTGCCATGCTTTTAACTGCTTCTAGCTCAAGAACTGCTATGTGTTACAGAGGAAACTAGTGAACGATACTGTTTGAAAGTGAGCGATCCCAGCTTCAGTATCCCTGGCTCTAGGGGTGAGACCGACTGCTAAACCTGCATCAGAATGCACGTGGGGTGAAAATACTTTCACCTCCTCTGCTGCCTTTGTCAATAGCTCTCCAAGTTCTCTAAAATCATCAGTGAACTTTAGCCTCACCATACTCAGAGGGGGTAGGTTGGCTCTACTACGAAAAGAGGTGGCATCAAGAGGTGAAGCAATTTGCCAATGGCCACAAGAAGTCAATGGCAAAGTTGAGAAATGAACCTAAGTATCCCTGGCCCCTGACTGAAACAGCTGACCAGATCTTTCATCCTCTGCCTACCTGGGCTAATGCATCAGTGCCCCACTCCCAGGGTAGACAAAGTGCCTTGAATATAGAACTTTTTGCTTTTATTTCCCACATACATCGATATTAAACAGCGAAGGTGGGAAAAGAAATCAGATTTTTAAGGAAATCAATACTCATTTATTTTGAGGAGAAATTGAAAAAGCCAGTATTCTAATGTTTAACAACTTTTTCAGCTTCCCTTCATAAGAGACAAATGATTATCGCTTCCACACTGCTCCTATAATATCAATCCTGATCAATTCCAAGTGGATATGCGGCTATAGATTTCAACAGGAAACCTGAGGAGGCTGGAGGTACAATTTCCCAGGGTGTACGTACAGGATTCCTATTGCCAATCAGAGTTAATTTGTGCCCATTTATTATGGCCCGTTACTTATTATAAAACATATCTCAGCCATAAAATAATTTGCATTTTAAAAAGCAGCCTAAATCCTTATTCCCTGTGAGACTAGAAAGCTCCTCTGCAAGCAACTCCCAGACTCTTTGGGAAATAATCACAAGGCCAATCAGAATAATAGTTTTTTTTGTCTTTCCAGCCTTTGTGTTCCTTTATGCTCCTTGTGCATAGAGGCACTCGGGCCATGGCTGGGGCTGTCTCACCTGATTGCCACTCTTTGGTTTAGATGGGTCACTGCCAGTATCCCTGGGTTAAACCCTAGGTTGACTGACAGAAACCTGCTGTCAAACTCAGTGGAGCTAAACTGGCTTCCCTTGCTGTGGTCAGACCCATTCCTTTGATAGCAGTGCCCCCTGGGGCTGGGGCAGGAGTCACAGTGAGCAAAGAACCGAGGCACATGCAGGGATTCCCCCCTGCACACACAAGCGCACGGATCCTGACCACAGAGATGGCAGTCATGCTCTCAGACCGGGGAAGAGGGTAAACAAACAGAGCATGTGATTCAGAGCTGGCTTGACGTGGCTCCCCTGGCAGTCCTCCCAGTAATTACAGCACGGCACATGCTCCTTCTCTTGCTCTCTGCCCACCCCAAGCATAGATCAGGGCTGCGGTCTGGTCTTATTGGGTGTTTGGTTGCTGCTGTTGTAATGTCACTTGGGCAGCAGGTGAGGAAGAGAGGTTCACTGAGCAGCAGTCCCTGTTTTCACACACGGTTTAGAACCTGGCCAGATTTATCCTCTTGGTTATGATAGTGTGGATCTGGAGTACCCCAATGACTCCAGCTGATCCATGTTCTGCTCTCAGCTACAGAGGTGCATATGCAGAGTAACCAAGCTGAGTTCAGTGGTGCCAGACTGGTCTGACTGGAAACAATGTGACTCTGGAAGTTTCAAACAGGATCCCCCCCTATGTCCAGCACAGAGAGAAAAAACAGTGCGTCATGCTGTGCTCACCCCTATTACCTGATAGTTGCACTCCGGGTCCAGGCAGTGGTAATGTTCTCGATATTGGTATGCACAGTGTATGTGTCCGCAGTGCTGGCTGCCAGAGAACCTGGGAATGGAGGGGGAAGAAAGAAAAGAGAGAAAGAGATAAAATTAAGTTGATCCACTCCTGGGGCTGCTGACTCTGGGGGTTTCTGCAAGGCAAGACACAAGTGAAACAGGTACAGCATCCTCCCTGTTACACCTTCTAACTACCAACTCCAAGCATGCTGGGGAGACTGGGGACTTCTCTGAGTCACGGGTGCATTGCTGACATCCCTCACTGCCCTTCGCCCTTTCCCTCTAACTGTTCAGTGCCAGGATGCCAAAGGAAAGAGCTTCCTCCAGCTACAAGCCCCTTTTCCAAAGAGGTTTTGTGTCTTTCTCTCTGAGGCAATACCATTACTAGGCTTCTTAAACTGGCTTTATTCTTTTCTCACTTCACTTCACTGGACTGCTCCAGAGTCTGATGAGCCCATGGGAACAGGCTCTTCCAAGTAGTTACAAGAGACCGGGGGCAAAAAGCTCAAGCAGCCAGGTTATTTTTCCCCTCTGGCCAGCACCAGAGGTCTTCCCCCATCCTGCCCAACCTCCTCAAGGTAGGTGAGCAGCTCAAGGGAGCTTCAGCTGGAGCCACAAGGAAAACAGTATCATTCTCATGCAATGCAGCACCCCGCCGAAAAGCCATGCTGGAAGAAGAGGCGGGAGAAAGGTAAAGAGAAGGCCTGAGGTCAGCAGAGAGGCTGCAGATGCGTGTGTGACTCTCAGCTTTTCTGGAGCAGAAAGACTAAAGGACTGCAAAGGCTACTTGTTGCAGCTGGAGAGAGATGGGGCGCAAGCCGTAATGTGCCATATTTGCATTTCAATTAAGCGGGGAGTCAGCAGCTGCTGTTCTACTGCACCATAAACAAAGGTGATTTTTTCTTCTGACTCGCTGAGAGTTCAAGAGCAGCGTATTGAAAATTAGAGTGTGTCACGGCGGCACAATAAGTGATAATAAATGGGGGTTACTCCCTCACTTGGAAGGGAGAGACACATGATCTCTCTTGTTCAGGCTCCTCTCTAGGGAGCAAGTCTTGTCTCCCTTGTGCCTACAAATACCCCCCACCCCAGGGGAAGCAAAACTGATGCTTTCAGCATGTTTTGGGACCAGATGAACTGCCCCGGGGACTGGAGCCCTCTCTCTAAAAGAACAGTAGCAGAAGGCAGATTTCCCAAGTGCTCAGGATCCCAGCCTCACCTTGTACCTTACCCCCATCCCTTTCCATTGCTGGATCTCTCTCTGCTCAGGCAACTCTTGTGTTGCTACCTTAAAAGGATGTTCTGCTGGGATCCAAGGGGCCACTGGATGCACCAGGGGTACTGGATAATAAAGGAAACTGAGGCTTTTGGACAAAAATTACTGGATGTACAGTCCAGAGCTGCCAGTGGGCAGAGGGAAGGGAGCCAGTGTCTGAGAAGGTGAGAGAGAGAAAACACCAGAATAGAAGGAAGATTCAGCTCTGCATGTTGCAAGGCCAAGAGAAAGGAAATAGCCTAGAGAATGAAGCAGGTAATGTAGATGTCTAAAGGAAAGGAAGACAGAAGAGGAAACATCTAGAGAATAGATTTCTTCTCCCCACATCACTTCACAGGACAATATGGCTCCAGGGTGGAGACCGTCTCTCAGGTCCACCAGGCTAAATGCACAAGAAGACTGGGCAATACACAGTAAGAGAGATCTCTTCCTCCCAGGACTCTGGCTTCAGGCCTTAGATGAGGCAGGGTGGAGATGGAAAAGAATGGGGCTAATGCTGGGGTGGGGGAGAGGGATTTAGGCGGCATGGGGAGATGTGGAAGAGAGGAAGACAGGTCATAGTAGATGGCTCCCAGCTGGGAAAGGGGTGTTCTGGCTCAAAATGATGATCCTAGAAAGGTACGACACAAAGTTGGATGTGATGAGGCAAATGTCTGAAATCAGTCTGGAAGTGACTACCACCTGGGAGATCTTCCAGACCTGAAAACCTTTGTGGAAATGATGAATGACTCAGGGTTGGGAGATAAAAGGACATGATGGGGGAGTAGTCGAGCCATGGATTACATTTTTTTCTGCAAGCCCCTCCCAGTCAGGATGGCTGAAGAGGAACCAGGCATCCAGGGTCAAGAAGGGAAAGAAGAAAAGAGGAAAGAGAAAAAACCCAGGAAGGCCACATTAAGTAAAGTGCCTAAACCTAGAAGGAGCAAGAAAACAAGATCCTATGAGGAAAAATGAATGCAGTGTCTAATACTCTCAACCTGAGTGTAATGGTATCAGGTGGGGGGGAGGGGAAGGAGTCACCATCAGCCCCTTTTTGTATGGCTAAAAGTGTGAGGATCCCATTACTTTTTTTCTGTAGTAACATGGTGTCATGCTATGGAAAAGGTTGAGGACAGATGGATTAGACAATAAGCTGTAGGGAGAACAGAGTGCCATGGCTAGATTAGATAGATACCTTATGGTGAGACTGACATACAAAAGAGACCAATATACAGAAATGGATGAGATAAATTAGACAGGCACTTGCAAGCAAGCAGAGTGCAATATCAGAAGCAGACAACACAGCCAGCAGAGAGCCTGTCTTCAGGAAACCCCAACTCATGCACAATAGCCTGGATCACCCCCGCCCCCAGCAATCCCATGACATCCCCGAAACAATCACAGACCCTAGCTGGATTGGGGATTGTCTTTTAGTGCCATTTAGCAGTGGGAAATAATGAGGAAGAGCCAACACCAAGGACAAAGCCAGCTCTCTTCAGGGCACCAGCAAGTGCTCCACAGGCTACATACAGACCTCAGAGACAGAAAGGACGCACAGTCCCTAGCTCTGTCTAACTGTGCAGTGACCTCCCCTCTGGTCAGCGAACAAGCCTCTTCCTAACCCGAGTCTGCCTGCTGCAACTGAATTTCAGTGGGGCTCACACTCCCCGTCAAGCAACCTCTAGGTTGGGAGGCACCGACCTAGACACAGACTGGAGAGAGGCAGATAGATCTGAAAAGGGCAACAAGGGGAGACCTGAAAGCAGGACATTGGGAACAAGCTTCACAGAGCATATTGTGGAGGAAACTGAAAGAGCTGGAGAGCCTGAAAGGGAAAAGACAGAGGAGAAGGGGGCTCTGGAGTCAAACATTCAAAGACAAATTAGCATCTGCTCCCAGGCTCTCTCCATTCCCTGCCACCACATACACCAGGAGTGCATGCAGTACAGAGCATGAGAGAGAGGCAAGGAAAGGCTAGGGGGGGATCTCGAAAGTAAAGCAGTGGGATGAGTTCGGGCTGTGATGGGGCAGGGGTGTAGGATGGGGGGCTACGGGTACAGGACAGGAACGGGGAAGGGAAGATTTGGAGGGGCACACCATGCTAAGGTGGGGGAAGAAGGCTAGGGCTGGAGTCAAGCACCATAAGGCAGTTCTGAAATGCAGAAGAAACCTGAGGTTGGTCATGGAGATGGGGGGCTTCCAGGAGATGGAAAGGGGACTTAATTGACAGAAGAGAAAGACATTGCTAAAAAATTAAATGCCTTCTTTTGCCTCAGCGTTCACAAAGGGAGATGGGGACAGATGCCAGACGCAGACATGCCTTTCCCAGGGGAGGGAGAAGAAACACTGCAGGAAATCAGGATCACGCCAGAACAGGTGACTGAGAAACTGGAACAAACCTTAGCTGTGGTGGGGAAACAAACCAAGTGGCAAACAATGACGCTGGGTTGCACAAACAAAGGCGTGGGGTGGGAGGGAGTGACAGCAACGCCAGACATGTACAAAGGGCACCAGGGAGGCTAGGAGTGGAACAGGCTGCACCATCGTTGGTCCATCCAGTCCAGCACGCTGTCCCTGAGATGGCCAGCACCAGCTGCTGGAGAGGAAGGGTCAGGCTGGGGTCCTGCTGCTTGTGGGGAAAGCTTCCTTCCTAGTGAGGTGAGATGGGGAAGAGACAGCAAAGGGTAGGGAGTAAGATACAGGGCTGGAGGGCTGAAGAAAGCAGGTCTGCCTGCTGTCAAGGAGAGGGAGATGGAGACTGTGACACGCATGCTCTTCATGTGATCGTACAAATGGCACTGACCAGGCAGCTGTATGAGCTAAGGTCAAGCAAGGACTACAGCTGAGGGAAGGGCCGGGACCTAGAGGAAGCGCTCTTCATGAGATGGGTTACCCAAGGCAGCAGCAGGAGTAACTTGTGGTTTCAGCTTGGTGAGAAGGAAACAAGGGCTGTAGCAATGTGGGGGTGGCACTTCAAATTCCTGGCCTCCTTTTGCCTTGGAGTACGCTACAATCTTATATCTGATGGGGGGGGCT